CCATGTTGTGACTCTAAGCTTTTTATACTACACAACACAAGGTGATTAATTCCTTTATTAACTTGTTGAATTAAAGAATATAAACAGATGAAAAAAATGCACATGAGGCCAGTCGAAATATTTCCGTTAAAACGGAGATTTACAAAGCGTGTTTTATAAGCAAAACAACGTCCGAATTTCGGAGTTGCGAGATATACAAAAACAAATGGGAAACGTGAAGAACAGCCGAACATTTGAAGAGAGCATTTTCTATGTTACGTTCGTTTGGTCGACCAATTGCCGGTCAGGTCATGCTGTATGCGCTGGCTTATTTTGGAAACTGGGAGCTGGATTCAACAAATTGTTTGTACTAAAGTAAAACACTTTTATGTAACCACTAGATCATTTATTCAATTATTCAGAGCTAATAAATGGCCGCGAACTATTAAATAGGACTGATACGACGCCGAGCATCCAGCGGCGGGTGGCAACGACATTCGTGGTCCATGTGATTGCATGTGACGGGCTTACGTCTCCACGTGCACTTTGTTGATACAATAGACTTGTACAGCACAGACTGATTGATACAGGCATACAAATGACAAGCTGGCTACTATCTTGCCGTGCCATCTTTTCAACTTGAAGGAAGCCTACTGGGTGAAGACATAATGAGCACTCTTTATTTGTTGCAGTTTATTCAGTGCATAGCAAGATTCATCATCATCAGTTTGTCGGTGCTACCGAGTTGTTCAATCAAATTATGTCCATGGTCTTTCGTTATGGATACTTGTAAACCCACATGTTTTCTACAAAAAAGTACTGAAAATACATCTGAGCACAATAAGCCATTTTGAGGGTACTTGGTATATTTTTGGACAGTCAGTTACGTAGTTTCCCTTGAGAAGGAAGTGCGAATGGGCCAATCTGAGGAAAACTAGTAAAAACCATTCTAGTCTGCGGCTGAATGTGGAAAAATTGCACATCAGTTAGTTTGCGGCTCAAATGACTTGATATACCACCACACCTTGTATCGTTGAAAATGACTGATAATCTAAACAGATTAGTTTTCATTTCTGGGGTGTCGCTCTTCAGGTTGAGATTGCAGTAGTCGTAGCAGAGTTGGCGCTTCTTATCAATGTAGCAAGTGAGTTTTTACAATTACAGTATAAAGAGAATTATCAAGTCATCGGTTATCAGCCCTTAAAATAACCTTATGCAATTTCAAGACGTCGAGAAGTGGCTTTGGGGCTCTGTTTTCTAAACGTAAAAAAACATCGTAGTGAGTGTGATGGACGGGTAGTTCAATCTAAATTCACAAGACCGATGAATGGAAAGTGTTCCAAGAATCAACCTGGCTCACGACACACAACAGACTCAAGAGGATCGTTTGTTAATGACTGGCGAACTTACAAGTAGCTGTTTGCCTTCTCAGTACTGTAGACCTTTACGAATAGAGTGGTAACCAAAATAATGAAGCAACGACTGTATTAGTTTTCGTACATGGATGTATGATTTTGAAAACACGGTTGGCTTTTTAGAGGGTGAAATGACTGCTTACAGAAATAGTTGATTTAACATTGATGAATGAAAAATAAAATATTTAACTGTACTCTTCACAGAGCGCGATTGCTGCGCGCACTACGAACAATATTAGGAACAGTGAGAAAACTCCACTTAGGAAATTACTGGTATCCTAGCTACGTATGTATTTCTTTTCATGTAGTCTCTACCTGGGTGAGACGTGCACCTACGCAAGGATATTTGTAGCAAGCTACGTTGGCCCAGTTGACATATGAGCCACAGTTCCCTTGTATGCTTACTATATCATACCGTGTCCTTACTATCCCCACGTTTAATGTCAGCAAGCTGGTTACTAAAAGTCCAGTAAGACGCATTTATCATTTTGTCCACGGGCTTACGTTGCCACAACCACAAGTTTGCCCACCAGGTGAACCATTTCGACAAATAATCGATTCCCCAACGTTACACAGACGTACAATGCAAAATTAATGAAACCCTAATCAACCGTTTGATGAGCTACAGACAGGTTGATTTCATATCGTAATTGTACGCTTCGCTACCGTTTGGTAATTGAATACATTTCCACTAGTATAGGGCTGAAAACGAAGCCGGGGAGAAAGGCGGGGTATATAAAGAAGACGGAAAGAAGTCCTATGACGTTTTTCATCCAGGCTTATTTGTGATGCTTAAAATCCAGCTGACCAATTTGGATAAAATACACACTGATCCGCTGATAGAGCTTCGTCAGGTACAAGATTCCCCGTAAACGGGGTCTTCGTACAACTTTTGACGGTGTTCTAAGGCTGCTGCTATCAGAGAAGGCTTTTTATTCAAAAAGGATATTCAATCAAGAAAGCACGACTTGATTTCCGTTCTAACACCCCTTTATTATCTGAGGTTAACACAAGCATGCCGCCTGATACACAAATCAAAATTATTTTCCGGCTTTGATTTATCCTACAGATTGCTTTGTGCCTCCCATGTGGATACAAAAATTTCAGCCATATATACATTAAGAATGCCTGTTTCAATTCTTCAAGTCTTGTGATGCTTAAAATCCAGCTGACCAATTTGGATAAAATACACACTGATCCGCTGATAGAGCTTCGTCAGGTACAAGATTCCCCGTAAACGGAGTCTTCGTACAACTTTTGACGGTGTTCTAAGGCTGCTGCTATCAGAGAAGGCTTTTTATTCAAAAAGGATATTCAATCAAGAAAGCACGACTTGATTTCCGTTCTAACACCCCTTTATTATCTGAGGTTAACACAAGCATGCCGCCTGATACACAAATCAAAATTATTTTCCAGCTTTGATTTATCCTACAGATTGCTTTGTGCCTCCCATATGGATACAAACTTTTCAGCCATATATACAATAAGAATGCCTGTTTCAATTTTTCAAGTCTATGGGGCACAGAAACGGAATGCGAAGGCATACCTTTTTCATAGAAGTCATTTTAAAAAACCACGTAGAAGGGCTGTTTGACTTGGTTTAGCCCTAAAATAAAAGAGTCCCTGAAATTCCACAATTGTGAATTTCTGCTTCTTTTTATATCATAGGCAAATGTGAGACAATATTCTGGAAGCCAAATTACTCTACAAGATCTCTTCTGCTTATTTTTTCTTACCCAAAAAACCGTGCTCCATTCGGCATGATTGTGCTTGCCACCTGCATAATGGATGCAGTTGTGCATGCAGGTTTATTATGCGACCATTAATGGGTGCTGTTGCCTCGAAATCAAGCTTTGTTGCTCTCTGGAATTACATAGGAATTTATTACCAATTTATTAGAAAGTATTTAGCAAGTAACTGTGACTGAACTTCTATATGGAGTGGCAGCGGACCAGACGTTCCCGACGTCAGTCGCTGTAATACTGTGAAACTTTTCCGTCATCATCTCATATTGGGGAAGAAATACCGTAATCCAGATAGCCCAGACGGAAGATCCAAGCTTTGAACTCAGCTCCTGCTGTCTGAGCGCACCCGTATAGGTTGAAGCAACTTAGCAACACCTCATTATTGTCCCTTCTTCGAACAGTTTCATAAGTGCACATTCTTTTTTATGCCAAAACACATTACACACATTAAAACGTCGTATAAGAATATCCTTTGACGAAAATGATTTCACAAAAGTTGCAGAACTGTGAACAGATGACCAAGCATACGGTAATTATTAAATTTCCCAGATTAAATATTATTTTAGAATCTTTCAGGGTCAATATTTCTTCAACAAACGGCTGAATGTTTCCTTTGGTGACTTTAAGGACGTTTTTGTTCTCTTACTGACGGTGGTCTCGGTTGCCTCTCTCTCTCTCAGAACCCAAACCCAAATAACAAATATTAGGAGAATATATGTTTTTGGCAAAAAAACAATAGTATGCTAATATATATCGTGTGGATCATTCCAAATCGCATTTTTTTAGTCCATTCACCCATATCGTGTAACAGCATATGCTGTCACGTGTAAACAAGACCGGATTTTTACACAACCTCATCAAAGATGACGTGATGTTCCGAAAACTTACAGCAATCTCAGTTCACATTCGGATTGGAAACTACCATTATCCACTTAGTAATTCTAAATCAGGCTAATCAGGCTAAATCAGGTCTGTTATCCAAACTCACCTACCTTATTCTACAGGACCACTAAGTAACCTAGGTTCTCATCGAGGTGAAAAGAGATATGAATTCGAGTTTATCAATTGCGGAACTGATAATTTTATCCATTTCTACCTTTTTCTCCTCTGTAACAAAGAAAACCTGTGCGTTTAAGCTTTGTGCAAGTTGTTTTTTCTCCATTAAATGTCCTGTGAGCTGTGATGGTCCAGTTAAGCAGTTCGAAGTGTCCAAATATCGCCTGTTTCTTGACAGAAGGATTTTGTGGGCGAACGAACGCAACTGTTGACGGAAATCTCTACTGAATGCATTTCTAATAGCTCCCGAAGTAAACGATCACTAGAAATAAACCCAGTAAATTATGTACATGAGGTAAATTTGCTTTGCTACATGGAGGGACTAAATTATGTTTTCGTGAAAAAATATCCGGCTCTTATTACATTTGGCAGTTGCTCAAGGCTTTTTCTGCGATTCGTCGCAGCTCCGATTCGTTGTGATAAGTAGCCTTATGAATTACCAATCTCATCACTTCCAAACTCTGGAAGCTATTATTTTGCCCTGAAAACCAGCTTTCAAAGACTTTTTGCAAAAGAATGTGTTCACTTGTGCCCTTTTATCCACTCCAAAGTGTAAACAAACTGCGAAATTTGTCCCAAACCATTAGCTTGCCATATGCGAAAAACAACTTACGTGACTCTCAAGTTGACACCATGTTTCCAAAAACAAGCCAAAATCCGCCAAACCAATCAGGTCTTTTAGTATGTTTCATCGACAACAAACCTATGGGTGATTTTATTCTGTAGTGGTGAAACCAGCAAAATGTTTAATGCTGAGATGAAAAACAAAGCCGCATTCCATGCACGCCATGCCAGACAGCAACAGTGTCGTAGAGCAACGAGTTGCTCAACAGAGGTGTATTGATTTACTTCACGATGGCACTCATGGTCAATTTGATGGAGCTGCAACTATTCATAACTCAGATCAACAGGCGATCAACTATTATCCTCGAGCCCGTTTGACAACTACCTCGGTTTCGTTAACATCACACTTACCGGGGACCGAATATTCGGAATGTATCTGCTCTCCTACACAGGCAATCGGATGGAGAGTGGCAGAATCAGATATTGCGCAAATGAGTGTAACAAATGATTCATACTTGAACGAGAATATCGCCGCTGTCAATCCGGAACTGCAGGCTGATGAATGGGTACCAGCTGACGCAAGCCCGCCCTCGCCCACACTAATCAAAATTCAACAGCTGGTGAATCAAAAGTCCCTGTGTGGCGAATTTTGTCTGTTCACAGCGTACAGCAAAGTTTTGCGTATCTGGCTTTCATTGGTGTCCCTCGCAGTGTTGTACAATTTGTGGTTACCAATAGCTCGACAATCATTCTACCAAATACAAACCAGGTATTTCCTATTCTGGCTGGTACTAGACGCAGTAGCGGACTTTATTTATCTATTGGACATATTTGTGCAAATGGGAACGACCTATTTGGAATTCGGAATTCCAGTGCTCAAACGACGTAAAATCGTAAAACATTACATGAAAACCTTTGGGTTTCGCTTAGACCTTCTATCGTTGCTTCCGTTGGATCTAATACAAATCAAGGTTGGAACACAGCCTATGCTTCGCTTTCCACGGTTTATCAAGTTCTATCGTTTCCTGGAGTGGAAAATGTCAATTGGGCACTTGTGCAGAATTCCATGCATATGGCGCCTGTTTCACTTGTTTCATTTGTTGTTCCTGGGTTGTCATTGGTGTGCTTGCCTCTATTTTGACGTGTCCGCTTTCGAGCAGTTTAAAAGTACGTGGGGATTCGTTCCCCAAGACGGTTCGAACACCACGCTTTTTCGTGTTTATTTGGTGTCCTTCTACTGGGCCACCTTAGCGCTCGCCACAATTGGAATTGATGAACCACCAACTACTACTCTCGAGTAAGTTATTAGAAAGTATTTTCTCTCAATTCTTCCAAACTTAAAATTTGTCCTGAAGAAAATGGATTATCGAAGATTGCTGAAGAAAACGCAGGTTTTGTGGAGAAACGACTCACTCGTCTTGCCGTTTGGATTGAACCAGCTGCAGCTCCATGGTAATAAGGCGAACACACATCTGCCCTTTCTTTACCAGAATCTTCTAATTCCAAACAAAGCTAGCCTACCACATATGCACGAAATTCCGTGGTAGAAAAATCATACAGCATGCAATAGGAGTGTGGAAAGTTAGTAAGGAAAAACTAAATCTAGTATTAAAATTAAACCACTCTACATTTATAAACAGCAATTCGCCATGATTTTCAGCAAATGACCAAGTTGTTTGTTAACGGCTACTGCTGCTTCTGCATGAGTTCTACTTTTTGGCACTTGCTCGCATGAGAAGCGCAACAAACACAAGCTGAGTTAACAGCAACAGTTTTCATATGTTCATGTGACATGGAGTGCTGCAAAGACATGTTTGTTCAGTTTATCTGAAAGCCTCCATGCATCCAACATCTACGTGATCCAAGTTTTAGGCTTTTCGGCTGCAAGAGAACTGGGGTATATATATATAATAACGGGTTGTCGTGATATAGGCGCACGCAATAATCACTTCACTGTTATTGCTAAGGATTTTTCGCCCCTCATAATATACGGAGAAAATAAATGAAGCTAGATCAACGTAGATGCATTAGTTGTCACAGAAAAAAGCTCACAAAACTTTTCCACATGACTGGTATAAAATGGTGCTCATTGAAATTGCGAAAACGTTTGCCGTTCTACTTTTAAATTTGTCCCTCTGGAAACTAATAAAAACAGGACGATATTCGTACAAAAAAGGCCCCTTGAGACCCCTATTTGGACTGCGCCTCGATACTAACGGCTTATTTACATCCCTATGTTTTAGCTATCTTCATTTTGGGCAAACCCAGCACCTTGGACCATTGGAACTGGAGTCACCTAAGAGCTGTGGTTGAAGAAGGATTCGCACAAAGCTTGAAACTTCTATCTAAGAAGTAATTCGTCGAAAAAAACTAGCCTAAGCCTTGCTACGTGACAAAATAATCTTAAACTAAAGGACGCGTTACGCTGCAAATTACCTGACTGTGAGTTAATTGTATTCCTGATCAGCCTGCCTGAAGACTCGTGAGATGCGCTCTAATGGTAATCCCTAAAAAGAATAAATAACTCCCTAGTGCTTCAGTATGAGTCGAATTTACGCACAGGATGATGAACTTCTAACCAGCTTCCATGTTTTATTCACCTCACTGACATTCAGTTTGCTTTTCAAGGAAACGATTAGTTACGCCACGCCGAAAAAAGCCTACAACCCTCAACTCTTTGACTCCGGTGTACTGTTTCATGAGATCAATATTTTAAGCCAAAAGACTAGCTGTTTTTCGTTTTCATTCAAACCATAACTCATCGGCATCAGTCGCTGTGAGCCAGATTGTTTTCAGTGTTAGTACAGAACCATGAAAGCTCGACCTTACTAACACCGTAACTAATGAAATGCAATCATAGAATCGATAGATTTTAAGCAGGCAGTAACAGAAGTATAGAACAGTGGCTGGAGCAAATAGAATAAACAGTAGAGTAAAACAATTACACAAGATGTTGCGGATGGTGTTAAAAATATTCTGGTCGATGCAAAGAACGGAACATACAGCAGAGTTGGGTTGTTTCTATCTACGGGGAGATATCCCAATCTATATCCAAGGAAAATTCAGGGAATGTAAGCACCACCCCAGTGAAAAATGGTCTTCCCATAGTGTTAACTCGGTTCATTGGTGGACAACCGCGTAATAGTTATTGGCTTCAGGACACAGCAGTTCTAATATAAGGCCTCAGTTGTGAGATATACTCTAGATTACCCTAAAGCTCATGGGCAAAGATGGGACTTGTGTGGCCTGCTACTAAACCGGATGCAAAAGAATGCAAAACACTCATGACTTCAATAGTGTTGGTTGCGGAAAACCTAGTGGTGTCATCATTCGGGTTATGATTCAGATACCTGACGGAAGCACCATGAAAGAATTTTCTGGTGTTGAATGAGATTCGAATGGTTCATGAGTCTTGCAACCGAATGACCCGTGAGTAGATTAGCATTGTTTTATGTCACTTAACCTTCAGTTGTTGGTTTCTCACCGCAGATTTCGTGAATTTTAGGTTTTAATTGACATGTCGTCTTGAAACAAATTACCCCATTTAGTTACACTGATGTGAATTGCGTACTCGTTCTGCTTAAATTTTCAGGGGAATAACAATCATCTAACATTCCGCGAAGTCAAACTCGGTTGATAGGAAGCGTCACAGAGCATCCCCAGAAATTCAATGCATTTTACAGATCATCCGTTTGGACTGATATTGAGAAAACGTAGCAGAATTCCAAGGTCTACCATAACTCTTTCTTCAGCCGACGGTCGCCAGCTGTGCTAAATGAATATCATAAACATTTTCTCAAACGAACTGGACACCACAGGCATTTTTCGCCGCCTAAACTAACCTAGTTCACGAATTACTTTTGTGAGAGCAAATATTTACTAACATGTGTTATTCGGGTCTGTGAAAAAACATGGCAGTAAATAGCCAGGGGTTCACAAAACTTATAGACTGGTACTCCCTTACAGACTATAGCCAGAAAAGAGGTCGCGGTGCTTTTCGCCTAAACGTTCTCCATGTTCCTTAACCAGAAGTTCACAAAGCATTCCATAGATTGTCTTCGTGGTATCTCAGATGTACGCAGTGGTAAAAATTGGGCACGTGATTTTACCAGTCTACATTTCTGTGGAATGATCTTGGTAGTCATGTACACAGATTCAGATGTGTCGCAGTAATAAAGTGATCATCTGTGATAAACACGAAGTTGCTGGCGACCAGTTGACATCGATGGAGAAAAGAAGTGTCTCACAAACATGCTTAATAATATTGTTGAAGAATGTCGATATTTTTTAAAAGAATCACCAAGTGTTTGGAGTATGCAAGAGCAGTAACATCAAAGACTTGTGAACTACGGATGCCTCAGCAGGGGCCACGTATGACAACAGTGTGACTTTCGAAATAAACGATGTTGTTCCACAGTTTGCAACAATGGTGGTGGTGAGTATGAGTTTTGTTCGCAAGTGCCGTAAGACGTAAAGATATGTAAATGGGCTCAGAAATCTGGAAAACCTCGCTTGCCTATTGAGGGCCTCATTTGCATGGTCGCACGAACGCTATGTTTGATTGTCGTATGCATAGATGGTGCTGTGAAGCATTATGCATCTTAGAGAGGTTTGGCTAAGGAGATGTGTGTGTTCATTCATGATCACAAAATGAAACGCAATATATCTGTGGGCCAGTGAGGCGGAGTTTATAACAACTCTATCCAGAATGACAGGTATGCCTCAGTCACGCTACGTCGCTGCTTTTGGGCTACGGATGATGAACACTTGTGTTTTTTTCAATAAAGATCTGTCATAAATCACCTATTGTGTTTTTAGCGCACATGAGCCTATCCTGCATAGTGCTTTAATGCTCATTTACTTCAAAAGTTTACCATGCTTAGTTTCAGTTACCAGCTAAAAGTATCCATAAAACTTCATCCATTACCTAAAGTTTTAATTTCAATTTCAACGCCACAGAATGGATATGCTGTAACCCTGAAAATCATGTTACAATATTATGTAGTCTGAGGTGTACAGATTCTGATTAACCAGTGACGTAGTTCAAAAGTATGAATACAATAGTTCCCTCGGTCGTGGGAAAGTAGATTGGCAAACCTCTGGATCAGGCCTCCCGCTGAGATATATCAGCAACACGCAGCTGTTTTTACCACTCAAATGTTTCCAAGCCAAAGAAAACGCATTGAGTTAACGATAGAGCTTTAATAACTTTACTTAAATATATTGCAGAAATTTGTCCTTGGTTGTGACAGAACGAGGGATATTAGAATGAATCCGTCACGTAATAATTTGTCCACCCCCGCAACGGTATTTATATCAGTCATCGTCACTATGGACAGCAAAATTAGTGTTAAAACCGTCGGACAATAAACTTGAGTTTGAAAAGCCTAAAAGCAAAATCATTAGACAGAAGAGAGTTATTGACAGCCCACGATAAAATCTTGAGGTGCTTAGGTCTTCAAGCCCTCATTCAAACAACACGGGATTTGAAACTATGGTAGCCATGACAACTATCATTCATGCTATCCAGCTGGGCGGAAAGCAGATCAGCAAATCAAAGCCCCAAAAACATAAGCAGAAACCATGCTTATATCATCAAGCCCTCATTCAGCCCTGCTATCCAGCTAGGCGTAAAATTGATCAGCAAATAAAAGTCAAAAAGCATAACCAGAGACCTAATTCTCAACTGCCTTCTTCATACTCCCTTTTCAACGTACACTTCATCCCCACACATTCTCTGATGTGATTGATTCGTTAAGAAACTGACTATACATGCATATACATGTGACTTCCTAAAGGTCTATGAACCTTGCGAAGAATATGGTGTTTGGATATCAGTAAGCTTTGTGTAGTGTCTGTAAAGTAGAAGCAGAACGTGGCGCTTCCTAAGAAATTGGCGTAATTCAGACCAATTACCTCCACTGTATACTTGTCAGCTGCCTCCTGCCAATGTGTAGATGATAGGTGGACTGCGATTATCGTACCCGTCTTTAAAGAAAATTAACCTTGTAAAAAGTAAACAGCTTACAATATTGGCGTGGCAATTGACGCGGCTATTTTTGCAACCAATATTTGAAAGTCAGGCGTATCAAAAAGCCATTGATAATTTAAAAAATAAGTCAAATTCACCGAACCAGATTTTTTTCACGTATCGAGAATCACTAATCATTGGATAATTTTAGGGCTTTTGTCGGCAAATAATGCTCACGAAACTACGTTTGTTGAACTGAGAAATAGAAACGTTTCAAACTTTGATGTAAAAGCACACATTTCATGCTATCTCGGATAATCCAAATCCGCA